CGTCAAAACTAATCACGTGATTCATCTCCTTTTCAATAGCTTTGCGGACGGCTTCGATGCCAAGGGTTGAAAATATCTCGCAGATATCGTTAGAGTAGGTCCGGGCGGGATCCACATCCCGTTCCGAAAGCACACGCATTAGCGCTGTTCCGTCGGTCTCGAGTAACCACTCGGCTATGGCTTTGTATTCTCCCGTATCAGTGATTATAATACGTTTCTTGTTATCAGTAGTCGGCAAATGCATATACACTTTCACTATGGCTTCGATTCCCTATTCAAGCAAAAGATGGATTAGTTTTCTATACAAAAAATATTATTTTTAAACTTTGAATAATTACCTGAAGAGTAATATCTGAGAGCATTGACGCCTCAATACATCTGAGGAAGACGTCGTCCTCCATCTTATCGACCTGTTCTTCGTCTTCCATCTTCTCCTCTGAGTTCATAATACGGATTCGAAGGATAAGTCTCTCCGCGTTGTCGTCGTTGAAGATACAGTTCAAGTCGTCTCCAAAGCCGGCGTTAATCTTCTCTGCGATGGCTTCCATCGTCAGCTTCTTGTCTGTCATCCTTTTTCGGTCCAATTCTATGCGTAGAAGCCATGGACTGATGCGAGAGGTGTCAAAGTCTGGCATTTCGTAGTAAACGTTCACAAACTCCTGATCCTCAACAATAACGCTGTTGAGAGGGTCGGGATCGTAGTATATGGCAGTATTGGCCGTCACTTTACGCAGAGTCGTGTGCTCTAAACGGCACAACACATCCTTAGCCTTCTCCGCATCTCTGGCCGCCGCACCCGTCAGGAAGACAGTCAGTGATGGAGTCTTTGGTGACTTTGAAATGTTAATAATTTCCTTCAATCGCGGAACGCCTGGAATATAAGAAAAACTTATTAATAATAACCCAAACAATAATAACTAATAATCCACACCTAAAGTGACGTTCTTAGCGGACACACCGGCGTAATGGAAAGTATTGAGTGTCATTTGAGTGGCCGGTTCTCCGAGGGATTGGGCGGCCAAAGCGCCGACCATTTCTCCCGGTTGTACCTGTGATTGTTGGAAACGGGTCTCAATCTCACCGATCAGCCAATCAAAGGCTTCGCTGGAGAGCCGGTCCTGTTCTGTGATTTTTCGGGTGCATAGCGTTGACCTCAAAAGCGCTCGGAATAATAGGGTAGCGTTTTGATTGGCCTGAACTGACAGTCGGTCTTCGCCGGGCACTATTGTCAATCTCTTGACCAGTGCTTCGACTCCATCCATCACTTTGAGGGGCGAGAGGTCTGTCTGTCCCCTGAGGTTCACGTGAAAGATCTTCTGTGCGTTCCATATCATGCGGTTTAGATTACACGGAAGCACTACTTTCGAGTCTCCCGTCGGGAATATTGTCCGCAATATCTCGCGATCAGCTTTCAAACGATCCCATTCTAGTTCCAACTCAGAGAGCGACGAACTGTTGCCCAATACATCCCTAACAACCTCTTCGGTGAAAATCCTGTAAAAATAATTAATTTAATATTTTTATTATAAATCAAAGCATTTAATTATAATTACTTTCGGAGATAGCGTTCATTGTTGGCATCGAATCTAAACCTATCCCTAAACGCCTTATCATTTGGCTTAAGTGTTGGCAAGTTTTGCATCTCAACGGCTGTGCCATCCAAGCCGTCCTCTCCGTAACGCAATTGAATGACCTGACCGTTAGAGTTACGGACAGTGCCGTCGTATGTGACCATCACTGACTCCATGGCTTTGATAAGTCGGCGCTGAATATAACCAGTT